TACAGTGGGGTCTTGACTTGAGAACTTAATCCGTATTGGAAGGCGGTTCTCAAGTCAAAAAGTCTGTAAGTCAAGTCTCCATTGACCTACAGTGCATGAAAACCGATTAATCCCGTAACAGGCCGTTTTGGTTCCATTTTGGTTTTTTTCTGGTCTGTAAGTCGATTCTCAGGCTGCTAGTCAAACCTAAATTTTGCGGCCAGAGAAGTCTGCAACTCAAAAAGTCTGTAAGTCAAGCCGTCTCTAAGTCAAGGGTCCACTGTAATTCCTCTGTGTGTTCTTGCCACCTCTTCTTGATGTCCTTTGTTTCTGTTAGGTCCTTATCATTTTTGTCTTTTATCATGTCCATCTTTGCACAAAATGTTCCTTTAATATCTCCAATTTCCTTGAACAGATCTCTGGTTTTTCCCTTTCTATTCTTCTCCTCTATTTCTTTGCACTGTTCATTTAAGAAGGCCCTCTTGTCTCTCCTTGCTATTTTTTGGAAGTCCCCATTCAATTTTCTGTAATTTTCCCCATCTCCCTTGCATTTTGTTTCCCTTCTCTTCTCTGCTATTTGTAAGGCCTTGTTGGACAACCACTTTGCTTTCTTGCATTTCCTTTTCTTTGGGATGGTTTTTGTTGCTGTCTCCTGTACAATGTTACGAGCCTCTATCCAAAGTTCTTCAGGCACTCTGTCCACCAAATCTAACTCCTTAAATCTCTTCTTCACTTCCACCCATAAGGGATTTGGTTTATATTATTCTTGACTAGTCCAGTGGTTTTTCCTACTCTCTTCAGTTTAAGCTTGAATTTTGCTTTGAGAAGCTGATGATGAGAGGCACAATCAGCTCCAGGTCTTGTTTTTGCTGACTGTATAGAGCTTCTCCATCTTTGGCTGTAGAGAACAGAATCAGTCTGATTTCAGTATTGCCCATCTGGTGATGTCCATGTGTATAGTCGCCTCTTGTGCTGTTGGAAAAGAGTGTTTGTGATGACCAGCTTGTTCTCTTGACAAAACTCTATTAGCCTTTGCCCTGCTTCGTTTAGAATTCTATAACTATGCGGACTACTCCATTTCTTCTACGGGATTCTTGACCACAATAGCAGATATGATAATTGTCTGAATTGAATTCGCCCATTCCCATCCATTTTAGTTCACTAATTCTTGCCATCTCCTGCTTGACCACATCCAGCTTATCAAGGTTCATATTTGTTACATTCCAGGTTCCTATGCAGAATTTTTCTTTGCAGCATCGGACTTTCCTTTCACTTCCAGGCACGTCCACAGCTGAGCGTCCTTTCGGCTTTGGCCCAACGATTTCATTAGCTCTAGAGCTTCTTGTACTTGTCCTCCGCTCTTCCTCAGTAGCATGTTGGGCACCTTCTGACCTGAGGGGCTTCTCTTCCAGCGTCATATCTTTTAGCCTTTTGTTTCTTTCCATGGGGTTTTCTTGGCAAAGATTCTGGAGTGGCTTGCCAGTTCCTGCTCCAGGTGGATCGCATTTAGTCAGAACTCTCTACTATGATCTGTCCGTCTTGGGTGTCCCTGCACGGCATAGCTCATAGCTTCTCTGACTTACTCAAGCCCCTCTGCCACGACAAGGCAGCAATCCGTGAAGGGCAGCAATCCGTGAAAGGCAACCTACTCTGGTTTAAGTGCTGCAGTCAGCAATCCGTGAAGGGCAACCTACTCTGGTTTAAGTGCTGCAGTCTAAAGTTAACTTCTGTGTGGAGAATCCTAAAATAAATAAGAGCTCTGCATTTGGACAGCCCCCGACTTGCACAAAATTGGAATGTAAACTACCTTGTTCTGTCAACATGAAAACCACATATTTTTATTTATTTATTAATTAGATTTTTATCCCATACCTTCTAGACAAAGTCTACTAAGGGCGGCTTACATAAAATCATTCATAAGACAATATACATATACAGTTAAATCAACAATTTAAATTAACAAGGTTAACATTGGTCAAGATGGGAAGAAATAAAGAAAACTAAATAAAAAGAAAAATCAAGTATTGTTAGGAGGGAAGGCCTGTTTAAAGAGCCAGGTCTTTAATTGGCTCTTAAAAACACCCATATGTCCCCTTAGTGCAAACCTGTAAAAAGTCTTCTTTGCTACCTACTGAGCAGAATTCTATCAGGCTTCTTGAATGTCTTAGCTTTCAGACATAAACCCAAGAAACATGATCTGGTTTACACCTATCTGCATTTCTCCAGCAAAGGAACATTATTTTGTGGAGATGACTAATAGTTTTCCTCCTAAGAATCTTCTGCACATTTTGTGGATGATGTAGGAAGCTTGCACTTTGCCACCCTGTGTGAATAACAGCTGCCTCAACAACAATTCAATTAGATGTACCTTTTTGCACTGCATTCAGGTGTATGTGCTTTCTCTGACATTCAACAAGAGCAGCATAGGCACACTCTAAGGCAGCACATAATTATCGGCAGAAATTTTAAGCATATTATTGAAGGCCATGACCAGGTTGGCAGAGGCCCTTATTACAGTATTCTCCTCTTCTCTCCCCTTTTATTCTGCAGTTCATTTGTTACATGTCTATGGTGATCGATAGGAGCTCACACTAAATGAAATCTGCTAGTCTGAAAAATGCCACATTCCTGCTGGTTTTTTGTCACACGTGCCGAGACAATCTAACACAGCTAAGTCCTTGCAAATTCATTTCAAAAGAACACTTCCTCCGAGTCCTCCAAGATCGCCCACCCTTTATGATGTGATGATTGGGCAAACCCAGAGGCCCTCAAACTCCAAAAGGTACAAAGCCCAAGAGACCAGTGTGAAGGTCAGTACTCAAGTGAGATGCAAAATTGGTCGGCCGCCTTTTACCACACCAAAGGGCCTAATGCAGGGGATCACTTGAGGATCCTAATACCGCTGGCAAAAAGTTGCACACCAGGTAGGGCCATATGAAGAATCTTGAGTTAAACTGTAATCCTCTCACATCACCAACCTTAAAACCCATCACAGCCACTTGGGTGTTGGGGTTCAGGTCAGTTCCTCCCACTTTTAAACTGCCTCCATAAGAGCCACCTCAAGCCAAAGAAGTCTTTACCCTGCCCCTGAACGGGGCAACCATCCCTTCAGAGTTAGAACTCCTGTTTTCGAGAGCTCTTCTCTGTTGCACCAAATAAAAGCAACGACAGGTCGATAACGTGTGTATATGTAACGCAGATACAAGCCGTTCCGACATCCCAAAGTTAGAAAGGAGATCGCCTAAACGCCAACGCCTTGACTCCCAGGTCCAGCATCCCCACCCAGTTCACTAGGAGAGGCCCCGGCGCTCTTCCAGAAGTCGCCCAGGCCTCGACGAAACCGACTCCTCGTTACTTACCACCCGGTTGTCCCTTTTCCCCATGGCGTGTAGAAAAGCTCCGGCACCCACTCGAGCACAACCCAAACGGCCTAGTTGGAACCCCCGCTCGCGGCTACCCGTCAAGTTTTTAATCGCCGAGCGCTACTGAGCATGCTCGGCGCCTTCTGAGTATGCTCAGTAGCCGCCGCTGAAGCCGCGAGCCCTTTCTTCTTTGCCCTCACTTGGAATCAAAGGCTACCTGACTGGAACCGGGGGGGTGACAAGACACGTTTCAGTTTGGGACCCGGGGCTTAGGGATCGTGCTCATGTGGCTCTTAAAAAAAAAAAAAATCCAAGACAAATTTATATTCCGACTTGCCAAAGTACAGCAGTATGTTTTTGCTGCTCTGACTAAATAGAAAGGAGGAGGAAAAAGTTGCAATAGCGCTCCGGATGCTCCGCATTCTCTCATTTCTAGTTGCTGTCTTTACTGGCGATCGGAAAGAACTCGTTGCATTTGCATTTTTTTTAAGGGAGCATGAAATCTGGAAACCGGTTGCGGAGGGTGGGCTCTGCCCCGTCAGTTCAGAGCTTAAAAGCATTTATTTTGTTGCATTTAAATTTGGACTGCAGCTCGCAGCATGCCCCAGTCAGCGCGGCCTTTGCTTCTTCGGGTGACGGCGGGTGTGGGGCGGAGTTCCGAGAGTTGTGGTCGAAGAAACATTTTTCCAACCAAAAGGGTGTTGTGACGGGCAGAGGGAAGTTTTGGGGCGAGCCGCGCTCCCCCACTCAGTTCTCTCCGCTTCAGTTCTTGGGAAAACAAGGTGTGGAATTTCAGGTGGTTTGCCCGCGCTTCATCTCCACCTTCAACGGGGTCCTCGATATAATCCCAAATTATCCTTATACAGTACACGGGATGCTGTGCATACCTCCATATGGGGAACAAAACAAGAGACAGCAATTTGGATGTTCCTAGAAGGAGTAGGGAAACACTTATCTTCTCCGCCTCTGAATCAAGGAGCGAGAGGACCTTTAGCAATTTAGGAGGCAGGAGGGTGCCAGAATGTAATAAATAGACTTTCTGGTAGCCTCGCCACATATTGAACTACAGGTCCCATCATCCTCAATCAGGCTGAAATGGGTGCATTTGGGAAGCAATCTGGAAATCACAACTTTCTGTAGAGGGAGAGTAAATGGTGACTACACTAGTCATTTACTCCACAAATTGGATCAGATTTGACAGTTGAATTCGAATTAAAACCCAGTGGCTCCATGAGGTAAACCTCAGTGCATTCCTTGACATTTAGCACCTTGTCAAGGAAGGTTCTACTACAGGAGCTCTGTGCAAACACAGCTCTCTGCCTCTGCCAACTCTTGCATATTGGTTCTTTTTTTCTTCTTCCTGGTCTGTTAGTTAATTTACTTGGCAAAACCAGATTTGAAAAACTGTAGAGCCCAGTAGAATGAAGCATATTTTCTATACCCTAAGTGTGTCTTGATAGTCAAGGGAAGCTCATGTCCAGTTGCTCCCTTCATCAGTTGCAGGCCCTCTTTTACAGGCGCCATTTTGTAGGTTTTGTACTGTTCTTTGTCATAATGAATGGAGAGTGTCAGAGGCTGGAAAGATACCAGCGCATCGCTCCTAACTCATTAGCATGAGCATGTTCTGATAGTCACAAGAACTCCACTACTGAGACTTCCAGTGTCTCCTGGTGTGCAGCAGCTCCTCCTACCCTCAGAAGCTGCACAAATACTGAAACATGGAAATGGAGGGTACTTCTCCCAAGGTTTTACAACATTTGCTAACTGAACACAGCATGTGCAGTTGCAAGATGGAAAAATGTACTTCTAATAGAATATTTTTGCAGTTAAAAAGCCAGGCCATGAAAAAGTGGCATTCTGCCAATTGATGTAAAGAATGAACACAATGTGAAAAAATGGAGTACAGCAGCATCCCTCTCCAAAACTGAACCCAAAGGTATGTTTATTCTCCTTCGGCTAAAAATGGTTCCTGGAGATTTCACTGATATTTTGTTCCCCAAACCATTTACCTATGTGTAATTGCTGATGTGTTTTAAATTGTATTTTAATTTATATACAGTATTTATATTCATTTCATGTGTTTCTACTGTTTTTATTGAAAGGCATCTTGACTCATTTGTCACAGAAGGATACAATACGTATAAATTGGGAAAACAAACATTTTTAAAAATCAAAGTAGCTGCCTGATCCACGTGTAAAAACAAAAATCTGGATGGGGAAATACCTTCATTGGATTACTACAAATAAGGCAATCTTTGAACTCCTCCAGACCTCTTTATGTAATATAAGTCTTCTTAAAATTTTAGGGACTGGGGAAGTACAAAAAAGTTCCCAAAATTAAAAAAAAAAAACTGTCTTGATGCAGTAGCTTATTGTACTTGAAAGCAGAATGCTGCCAAAAAAAGTGTACTAGATTAGCAATCGAATGCAAAACAAGGTATCGAAGTACAGTATATGGCATATAAAAGCAAAGAAGGCTGGTGTGACATTCTTAATGAGGATTTACATTAAACATAAAGAGTTTCAAACTATCATCAGAGTACAGCAGCCAATCTGGCTAGGGTTTACGGAAACTGAAAAAACATCTGGAGGGCCATAATTGTCCACCTCTGTTCTAAAAAATAAACATGCATTATGGCAAATACATTTAAGAAGTTATTAACATTAATGAATTTAACCCACTGCATCCTCATAATAACCCTGTGAGCAAGGTCAGGGTGACAGAATTTGACTGGCCCAAGGTCACCCTATGAGTTTCATTAGAGGGGTTATTTCCACCCAGATCTCCTGAATCTAAGTCCAACACTCTGTAACCACTGTAACATCCTCAAAAATATTTCTGAGCTAGGAATAAATCTCTATTTAAGAATAATGAAGTGTGACATGTTTCCGTGTATATTTTGTTCATATTGATCATAACTCAAAGCTGAATGAATAAAAGGAGACAAGGAAACAAAGTCAAATATAAGTATTTAACATGTTTCATCTGTATTTATTTAGACATTCCAAGGTTTAAAGAACCCTCTTTGTATAAAAGTGAAGCAAATCTTGCGATGGCTGCCTGAAATACACAAAGCATCTCTACCTTTTGTGTGTTTCAAAATATTTTCTCTGAAATTGCAAAACACAAAGTAACCTCACATTGAACTAATTTATCAAATCAAGATACCGTCACCTCAGCAATAAATACACTACTTTCTGAGTGCAGCAAACTAAAACATCCAGTTCCAAGTCTGTCTCGTATTAATGTCAAGTCTGAATATTTAGTCTTTTACCAACCTACTCCACAATACGCCTAAACTGGAATACAGGGTAGTTTTTAATAGCACTTTTTCCTACAATCCTAGGCACCCTGTTGTGGCAACGAGATCAGCTGAAGTCAGTATGATTTAATTCTGGGTAAGCACAGGATTGCAGAATAAAGTTCTCCCCATCCACCTTTGCTCTGCTCTGAAGTGTAAATGACTGTAATGTAGTTTTTCAATGAGCAGAAATATGATTTTAAAACGAATTGAGAGGGTCTCATACAATAGGAAAGTAGGCTGATAAGGCTTGTGTGTCTTTGAGCAGAGAAACTGAAGCATGTTATAAGCACCCACATTATGAGCATCCAAACATCCATAATGTTTTTGCCTAATTTCCCTACATGTCTGCCCTTTTGCGTATAAGCTGTAGAGGACTGTGGCAGCCTTTAATTAAGGCACTCCTTCTAAGAGGTACTGCAAAGCACTCAAGTGTAGCAATTTCAACAAGGTTTGTATTACCTTTTTAAAAAAGTCATCAAATCACTTGTGAATACATACTAAAGTCTATTTAGTGATGCCAGAATCAATACAACCATATCAGCCTGAAGTCTGGTCACTGTATTTTTACCAGGCTATGTAAATGGCAGTCAATATGACTTTCTTGTGAAATAAGGAGTTTCATAATCTGGTGATGGTGAAAATGAAGCAACAGAATAATGTGTGCATAATCCAAGGATTGGTGGGCTGAGACAACTGTCATTTTCTGGCCCACCTCATAAATACTATATTAGCAGCCTTCATATAAAACTGCATCAAAACTCAGCCACAAAGCTACAGTTTTATTAATGTGCAATCTTATTCCTATCTACTCAAAATGTATTACTCCCAGGTAAATCTGTAGAGGATTGTGGCCATAAATTATCATGGCAGTAAATAGCATATTATATATACCACACAGTTGTTTATTGCCACCCATTGGTGTTTCAGGGTACTGGAAAACTACATCTTTTTAGGGTTGGTCCAGAGGTCCTGAGCTGATTTCCTTAGCTACAGTGAGAAGCAGACAGACTATTTAAATTAGACATTTAAAGAAGCACACTGAACGGAAACAGTTCATGCACATTTGGGATACAGGTGGGAAACCCTTCAGCAGTCCTGACTAGACATGGTGATAAATGTAAAAAAAAAATTGTGATATTTGTTATATATTCATCCTTTCATATTCGTCAGTTCCAGAGACCCTGACAAATATGAAGGGATGAATATTTGCCCATTTTTATTTGCCCCCTTTCTGCCTATGGCCTTCCCACTCTGCTTGGCTGCCCACAGGCAGCCTGGCAGCCCCACAGTGTGTTCCCCTTCCCTTTCCTACCTTAAGGAAATCTGGGCTACCCATTGTAAACATGGTGGCTGCAGCTTCTCTTAGGCAGGGAAGCTGCAGCCTCCATCTTTGCAAAGGGCATCCCACATTCCCTTAAGGCAGGCCACTCAGTGGCGTAGGCCACTGCAGCGAGTGGCAGTGGATGGCGGCTGCAAAAGCCACTGTAGTGCAGGCCACCATGGACGCCGGCAGCAGCGGCACAGACTGCAGGCCCAGATGATGGCAGCCAAAGTAGGGAGACAACAGGGGTAGTGGGAAGGGGGCAGACTGCAGGGGTGGAGAGACAGCTTTATTTTAAGACAATCTCAGGTTGTCTAAAAAAAAAACAACCCCAACACACCGATTCGTGGTTCATTGGTAGGAAATTTGTGGTTCGTGGTTCATCAACTTTGGCAGATCACGAACCAGGATGAACTGCCATTTTGGCAGTTCGTCCCCATCTCTAGACCTAACTGGCAGTGTTGATTGGTGGCAATTTTTGACTATTAAAGGCTTTCCCTCCTA